CATCCAGAAGATACACGTGTTTATTAACAGTTGTCTACGCAAAATACTTCAGATCCGTTGGCCAAACACTATTAGCAACAACCTACTGTGGGAGAGAACAAATCAGATCCCAGTGGAGGAAGAAATCAGGAGTAACAGGCGTAAGTAAGTAAGTAAGAGTCAAATCAATATATACTATGGATTATGAATGTTATACTCAAGAAAGAGAAGGAAAAAAACATTACTCTGTAATTTAATTTATTATTAATATTCACTTAAATCTAATATTTTTTTGTTTAGAAAAATAGTCATCTTTATTTACCGAATGTACATATTGCTTTTTTTGTGCATCATCTACACGAATGTTTATTTTTGGTTGTAAGCATATCATATTCCTAACTATCTGAACATATTTTTTTGTGTGCGCGTTTTTTCAGTTTATTTATCAAAAACATCCTAGTAACCTAATTCCTATGTAAATTATAATTCAAATTAATCTGCTAATGGACAGTGACCAATTTTAAAATACTTTGAGGGAGTGATGTCAACTAAATATTGCCAATAAATTCTACATTGTGAACTTACCCTTATTATAACTAAAATGAAGAAAACTACTGCTGTTTTAAATTCTTTTTTTTTCATTACAAAATAGTAAGCAATATGTGTGAAAGTATTATGTCACGGATATTTTATATGAGCCAAAACATGATTCAGTGTTATGATTTTGGGCACCACTTTGTTATAAGTATGAGTTCATAAATTACAGTCTTACACAGCAGGTTTACGAGTTGAAATCTTTGGGACATTACATTTTTGTTAATTGTCGACTAATATCGAATAAGAAAATAAGAGCCAACTTTAGGAAGAAGAATAAAAGATGGAAACAAAATCATGCTACTTTATGATTATAAGTAGTCTAACTTTTATCTTAAATGTAAACATTAATTTTGGTGATTAGACAGGTGGTTTTTAATTGAATCATGCGGGTTGTGAACGAATGAGTAAATAAAGTGTTAGATGTTTAGTAAACAAAAGTGAAGTTAAAAATATTAACCCGTAGGATATATGCTTTAGAACTGTGTAATCTGTGCGTGAAGACACAGGTTAGTATATAAACTACCATTAATGACCGATATCACCATATTCTACTCTGGGTTTTACATTGTTTTAATACATGGTTATTTTGTTCCTACAGTCTGGTTCCAAACTGTTGATTGAATATTTTGCATATGTATATCATATATTTCAGTCTAGTGTTTAATGCATCAAAACGTATTACCTAGTATTCAGTACATTGACATGGATGATGTTAGTTTTTCACTTCCAAAAAGAATAGTATTTTCAACAATGTAGATTGTTAGGTCATAGTCGAAATTATAAAGGCGAAAACAACAAAACAAAAGTAGGCCATATATGTCGAAACGAGCTGATTACTAATACTAGTTTAAAGCTATAGGAATGTAGCTATTCGTGTTCGATATATTACTTGGAATACTTTTAAACATACTATATAGTACTGTATATTTATGACATTGATTCTACATTTTTAAGTAACTTGGCTGGTTTGGAGTAATGTTGTTATAACTGTGAGAGACGTGCGATTTGAGGAGAGAGAGAGAGAGAATTATTGATCTGACCAAAGACGCGTAAAACACGTGAGAAAAGCCTAAAGTTCTGATTGGCCCTGTTTCCCTGTCTAGCCCAGCCAGTTGAGTCCAGAAGGCAAGTCTCAGCCTCTGTGATATGAATCATTATATTTCAAACATACTCTGTTTATATACCAAACAAACAGACTACATCGTACCATAAAATAGAAAGTAACATTTGTACAAGATTTGACCTCCAGGAAATGACACAAATAAATATTGACCAACGGGAAAATGACACGTTGGAAGAATACTGACCAATGGGAAAATGACACCATTTCTCATTCAGGAATAGCGTTAGATAATTTCTGGGGTATTTTCTGAATACCCCAACAAATGTATGTCACAACAGCTGAATAATCAGATTCATGTTTCTATCTATTTATTGATCAGCGAAATTATATATATATATATATATATATATATATATATATATATATATATATATATATATATATATATACAGTTTGTTCTTAGTATTCTAACGACTTTATTTTCTTTGATTTATTTATTTTCAATTACATGGAGATTTACTTAATTACTTACACCTGTTACCCCCCCCCCAATGGAGCATAGGCCACCAACAGCATAATTACATGAAGAGATAAGTGAGATTTCATCACATTATAGGGACCAATTGAAAATAAAAACCATCAAAACGTTCTACAATCTATAGAGAATAATTTATAAAAAATAATGTGGTGATTCTAATATATTCCTTCAATCGATTGTTGATCGCTTTAATAAAGTGTCTTCTATAGTGAACTTAAGTATTAAAGACAGACAAATGCTCTTCTTTAGTTTACCATAAATTCTAGAGAGAGAAATCAATTAAACATACCTATACTTTGGTAGTTTTCAACAGTTCTAATTAACTTCAGCAATATATTCAGTGTTTTCCGTTCATATTACTGTTCCCTTACCAATTAGTAATTAATCTTTTATCTGTACTCAGAATCTAACCTTGAATACTTTAATGCAGGAAATCTCCTAAACTGAATATAGTTAAGTCAGTAACGTAGATAAAACTTTTAATCGTTAGTAAATAAGTGATTGAAATTTTCACTTTATTTAGTTGTGTTAACAAGTGAAATGGACAAGCCGATGGAAACAACTGAGTAGAGTTACTAATCAGTCCTACAAATATAAGAAATTAATGGTAGAAATACTTCGAAATCAACATAATTTCTGTTCTTAATTCTTTAGAATTTGTAGCCGCCTCATTTCATACAACTTTGAACGTTTTATTCCATTCTTGCTAGTTGTAACTTCACGTAAAACCTCTCTGGATCTACTGTCGGTCGTAAGCCCATATAAAGAAGGAGGCTTAACAACTCTACCTCGTAAAAATTAGCCACTCTGCGAGATCGCTAATCATGGAAAACCAGTTACACTTTGTTCTGGGAGTTGACGGGTTTCGACGTAGAAGAATTATGACGCTACATGCTGAGAGCCAAGAGTCTCTGGATATCATGAGTCTTAAGACTCATCTGACAATTAAAGTAACAGTAGAAATATGAATATGGGATATCCGAACAATTTTGATGACAAGGAGAGTCACTGAAATAGCCGCTGAAATGCGAAGCTACAACCTGAATTTATTTAAAATAAGTAAAACCAATTGGAAACAATCTGAACGTGAGGGATTAATTTTAAGAAAGATGATGTTGTGTTGTGGTTGAAAAGCAAAAATCATCACACCTACGCAGAGAATCGCACCGGTAAGGTTCAGAGAAGCACAGGATGCGCTTAAAGGATGTGAATCTTATGGCTCTTAGAGCATCAAAGCATCCTTCAAAACAAAGGAGGAAAAAACTGCAAAGAATGCCATCCAGTTCTTCTCACACACCATCGATAGCACTAAAGAGGATAAAAATTAGTTTTATGGGAGGGTGTGGTCGATTTTAGAGAAATAACAAGGAGAATACCTGACCACCTTAACCAAGGATTTTAATCCAAGTGTCGGTAAGGACATCACAGGGTATGAAGACATCATGGAGTGACATAAGCTGGGAGAAGGGACCGAGAATGATGAGAGCCTTATAAATTTGTGTGCTTTTAACAACATGGTTATAGTTGACATAATTTGCCTCGCAAATGCTTGGATAAAGGTATGCAAATGTCGCGGGGTCATATTACGAAGAACCATCAAGAAAAAACTCTGAAGGACTATGGAAAACCTAAGAACAAAGAGGAAAGCTGATTTAGACTCAGATTACCAACTGGTGGTAGCCAAGACGAAACTAAAGCTAAAGAAGCACTGAAAAATTAGGCAATCAGCGTTGTAAAAGCTTACCACAGAATCCCTTCCAGGTGCTAACAGACTTATAAAGCGTAGCATAGCTGCTCTCAGAGGGAATCACTAAGAAGAACAATTGAAAATGAATTAAGGAAGAGGTAACTTCAACATACTAAAAGGTCATGGACCCTGAGAAACACCAGCATAAAGAAAATATCTCTATAGTAAGCCTGGGAAAGATACAAGAAAGGGGAAACAAGAAGATAGTAGTCAACAACAGATAAATAAAGGCAGAAAAAGTCAAAGCATAAGCTAGATATACCGAAACAAACAAGAGAATGAATAATTTATGGTGTCAGGAATTAGAAGCAGACATCAAGACGATGAATAACATTTGAGAACAACTGGAAGGGTGATCCCAGGTCTTAGTTGGTTGGAGAACCCTACCTAGTCGACAAATTATACCCCATGAAGGGTAGAAGGCTTAGTTAAGAGAGTAAGTTGTCAACTATACATTTTAGTTTGTCTGTCCGTCTTCTAATTGATCGAAAATTTTCAAATACTTCCTTTGAGTTTGGTACCTAAAACGCTCATCTCTATGTAGTCTGATGCTACAATATATCCGAAATATAATTTTCTATGAATAATATTGAGTGACTTAGCTACGTTATTGGCAAAAGAAAATATATGAAATTACGTTTGAAGTCAGATCTTAAAAATCTTCAGATCAAAATAATCGATCCATATCATATACCATTTAACATGTTTTATTAGCATATATTTCAACAAATCAATTGATGATATACATTAAGCCTAATAGTGTATATGAGAAAAATGAATAGGGTTATTTTTATATTTGTCCTTTAAATTGGACACTAAAACTTATTGTTCCTTTTTTTCTCAGGTAACTTTAAATTTATACATTAGATCATAGTCCTAATAATCGGATCATAATCTAAAAAAATTTTTTTTTATTGTTGTTGTTTAAAATTTATGATTAAATCTTGATAATACACACACACACACACACACACACACACACTTGGTGTACACTTTAAGCATGATCAAAAATCACAAAGAAATAATCATCAAATATATATATACTATGACACCATTCACTTACTGTCATTTTAATTATGTTTTATTTTATATTTTTACTATTCTTAAACATTGTCTGTAACTATGATGTAAATCCTTTGGAAAATGAACATATTGAACCGTTGTTTGAAAAATTGATTGAGTATGTGAATCAGAATGTAGGTAATTCGTGAACTATTCTTTATTTTCAGAGAAGGGTTTTTATGAATATTATAGTAATTTAATAGTTGAATTCATGAGTCAATTGAAGCTAGATCACCATGGAAAACCTAGAAGCACTGGACGGCCGTTTCGTGCTATTGTGGGACTTCTCAGCAGTGCACATCCACGATACTGTCCCCCCGAGAGATTCGAACCCAGGACCTATCAATGTGCCGGGGGGCGAGATCGTGGATGCGCACTGCTGAGGAGCCCCACGATAGGACGAAACGGCCGTCCAGTGCTTCCAGGTTTTCCATGGTGGTCTAGCTTCAATTGACTCATGATCTCAACCATTGAGATTATCATTTATTAAACAGCTGTTTACAACCATACATTTTATAGATAGGACCATAATCGGCGAGACTATAATTTATGGACGAACTAATCAGGTATAAGGTAACAGGTTTCGGATTTTGGCGCGAAATTCACTTATCCATTTGTCTAAACAGAGTTTTAACATTTTAGCTGATGTTAGTTCGTGATGAAAACCTTAAATCTAATTTCTAACCTTAACCATCAACTGTTAATCACAAACCTTATTCTTCACACTGGTTTAAAATCATTATTTAGCCCTAGTCAGTAGGTGGACATCCTCAAGGCCACTTTAGCGTCCCTCAAATATCGTCCATAAATTATAGTCTCGCCCCAAAGTTTCGAATATCATCCTATCCATCATTCTAATTCTTTTTTTAGCCAGGCTTTGGATGGAAAGCAGGAATTAATAGTCGTTTCAGGAATTTAAAAGATACTCAAAAATTGTTTAGAAATAACATTCAAATTAAGGAGTCAGGTGGAAAACAAATTCAAACAATTTCCCATAGAAATGTGAATATGGTTATACCTCATTCATTTGATGCAAGAGACCATTGGGTAAACTGTTCAACTATCAAACACATTCATGATGAATGTTGCTGTAGAGCAGATTGGGTAAGTCTGAAATGTATCTTATTTTTCTTTATATAAACGCATATGAATAAAGTGTGCATTTATCAGTGTGGAAGTTTAATCATCAGTAAACTTTGAAGAAGGACAAATCTTGATCTGACCATGACAAATATAAAACTTTGGTTCAGTAGTAAGCCATGAAAACTGTCAGTTTAAGGGCAACGTCACCTAAACAAGCTGAGTACAGTTTTACCTCTTTGTACACCACATAATCCATTTTTCATTAAATTAAAATCTTTGTAGTGAGCTATGAGTAGAGAAGTTAGATTTGTCTGGAACGCTTCTTTGCTTCTAATCGACTTACCATTTCTCCTCAGAGGTTTAAAATGGTGTAGGACTTATTTCATATACAGATATCTTTTTCAAACACGTTCTATAATACTGTTTAACCGCAGAGCCTGGGCTTAACAACTTCTATCAGAACAGGTAGAAATTGACCAGTAATACATTATCTGTTTCTGGAATATAAATTACTATAATTAGTACAGAACTATGGAGTGAATATAATTGTGAAAAATTGTTTCCATTCTTCATTGTTTTAATCATAACTAGTACACTTACCGTCACACTATCAATTCGTACATTTTACTCATTATGTTTAGTTATGTAATCTATTTCATTTTTGTTCACTAACTCATAATCTACCTTGATCAATTTATTGGTTTCATATATGCACATAAATATTATTGTATATCAGAGTAAAGTCTGATGGGTACAATTTTTTTTTTGATTGGTAGTTTACTGAAGATGGATCACATCAAGATCAGAGTGAGACTGAGTGGTGGGTATTTAAACAGATGTTATTGATCACTTTATTTATGAACTATAGCTAACAAATGGGATATTTGTTTAGAGGATGTGAGATTCCATTATGAATGAATTGTTACCATAAATATCGGTTGATTAGTACTGTCTTACAAAAGATAAAAAACCAAAGATATTTTACCTAATAAATGTATGAGTAACTTTAATATAAAATAACTAAGTAAACTGTTTCATTTATTGGAACTTTGATGTTTTCATAGGTAAAATGAAATCTGTAACAAGATTGTAATTGCTGTTCATTAGTATTTATATATTGGTCTCAGAAATTTCTCATTATTTATTTAAATACTTTGAGGTGATCCATCACTAGATATTTGATCTTACAACAAAGTCGGTAATTAAAAGTAGGGAGGAAACTATACATCCTTTATTTCTCTGGCAAAAGTACATACGATAAGGAAGTGAAATAAATATTATGAATTTATCTGAATCTCTTGTTACTTTTACTGTTTCATTTGTATAATCAATTAATTCAGTAGATTGTTTCTTGACTTAAACTGGGAATTTTTTGGTTTTGTTTAAAGCAATTTCTTTCCATAATTCACATTCATATTACTTTATTTGTCAAGTGAGAAGTGGAGATTTATAATACTTTTTTGAAGACTGTTTCTCATTAACGCTAGTCAACGATTACCGAACAGATATTTCGATTCAGTCCAAGACTCTTCTGATATGCAAATCAATACCTCTCATACCAACGTACTCAGGATTGTCATGTTTCAATGTAAATACGATAACATTCGGTTAGTTAGTTATACTATGATAGTTCACTTTTTTCTAAGTTCAGTCTGTAACAAAACTACATCGATGAAACAGCTTGTCCTTATTAAGAGACTGTTACATAATATTGTTTGTATGAAAGACAACTCCAAAAAGCTCTTGAAAAAGTTAGGTCTGAAAAGCTGTTCACTTTATACCATAGCAGGAAGTAATTGGATAAATTGAGCTTAAAGAAACTATATTTTTTAGTATTTAGTGATGAAATTTGTGACCAGATACAACTATTTAATTGTCCAGTTTTTCATATTGAGAAAGAATACAATAATTGTATAATAAGCTTGTCGAAACGCTCAACCACACAACTGAAATACACATGAAATCCAAGTTCAAAATAAAGATTCATTGAGAGAACGGTTTAACATTGCAAAATATATGTGAATTACGTTTAAATATCTACTTTTAAGGTATCTGTTTCAGTTAATTTGTCTGTATATATGGAAGAGAACATGTGTTTTACGATAATTACATTAGGATTAATTACAAAATATGATAGAGTAAATCAAATCTGGTGGCTGTGTCTAACATCACTAATGACTATCGACAAATGGAGACAAACGGCACACAAACATGGAAGCTGTTAGGTTTAAAAACCTGCAAGTACTTGCAGTAAGTGTTGAGAGAATATGTGACTGTTACTAGTTTATATAAATACTCAGGACTATTACACGATCATATGTTCTCAAAGGTTATTAGAATTAAAACTAGTTACCGAATTTTGGCAAGTAGTATAAAGTAATACACAGAAAAAGAGTAGTGTTTATAATAAAAAAGCTAAATCTTAAGCTCATTTGTATATTATGGATGTCGCCGTAATTCCTTACTTAAATTTTTAATTTTGAACTTCTACTAATTTATTACAGGCATTCGCAACGGTCGACTCAATTAGTGACAGAATTTGTATTCATTCAAATGGTAGAGTTTCTGTCCAACTAAGTGCTCGTGATGTTATAAGCTGTGGTTTTAGCCCAGGGTGTTCTCATGGAAATGAAATAGAAGTTTTAGTGTACTGGATTGTAAATGGTATTGTTACCGGTGGGTCATATGAAGATCAAAGTGGCTGCCAACCTTATCCTTTTTCAAGATATCCTGAGTGTAAAGACGTGAATTATGAGTTCCCACCATGTACGAGCGAATGTCAAGATGGTTATAATAAGACATACGAAGACGATAAGTTTTATGGTAAGAATATTAAACAAGTAATGTTTATCAGTTACATTTTAAGTTTTAAAGATTACATAATTTAAAAAGGGATAAATAATTCACATTTTCCAGTGATCACTTCTTAATTTGGTTTAAGACTTTTATGCATCATTTCCACATGTAGTCTAGATTTAAACTGAAGTTTTAAAACCTATGATTTTGATTAGTAAAGCTTACAATTGTCACTTGATAATATCCCAGTGAATAGACGGGTGATAATAGTATATTATTATCCATTCAAATATTCATTAACAAAACTAAAACTTATATGCAAAATAAATGTGACTACAAAATATATACCATTAAATATCTTATTCCAAAGTATTGACGTTTACTTTGTTAAGAAGGGTGATAGTTCTTTTTTTGTAGTAATAGTTACGAGTATAATTTTCCTTCACGACCTATTCCACTTACTAACTGATTGTTGTCACTTACAGTTTGTTAACTTGGTCATGCGTCTTAAGGTTACACCGCTTATCATATATACAGTTGTCCTACGTTCAGTATTAAGTTTTCTTCTGGTTGGATTCTCTCACAGGGTTTATTATTGAAGAGTGGTGTATTATTTTATTTTTACTAAAATCCTTATTAGTTTCTAAATGATAATATTTATATGTAAATGTCGATTAAAGTTAATCCTTATCATTTACCTAACTAAGACATATGACCAAGTACTTTCATATTAAACAGTTACAGTTATTACCTCACTAACCCAACATTTTTAGCGAGACAGGACAATTACCAAAATCTATTAATCGTAAATGGTGGAATACAGATACGTCGGGAATGAAACAATTATACTCAACAAGAATGGATGATCGTCACGTTATATCAGAAATTGATTAAAGTTGAAATGGTACCATTAAACGTCAATCAATCAGTTCCAACGGTTAGGCGTGGAACGCTGGTGTAAACCGTCAGCTTGATAATAACAAGAGAATAGATCGATAAGAATAAACTACTAACTATAAACGAAATGAATAAAAGATAAATATACTAAGCGTTAAACGGTGAACTAATCAACACCAGAAAAGAGGATAGTGTAGGAATCGCTGCCTATTAACCAGCTAAGATAAAATTAACCTCATTAATTACTTATTAAGTGTCGTCAAATTTCAATGTCTTGTGAAGATGAAGTATGAAACTGTTTTAAAATCTCTCCTCATGAAAAATCAATAATGAAATAAAAAGACCATCAACAACTTGAAACGAGTTTTGATTACCATGAAATTGATACTTTCAATCTTCAACGATTCACATGGTGCGATAAAACAATTTCAAGATGAACTAACAATTCAAACAGTAGAAAGATAAACAAATAAGTAAATACATTTATTTACTTTGAAGAAGTGGCTTACATTAAGTCATGAAGCGTTAGAAATACAATTTTTTCTACCCATCGGGATATAATAAAAAAAAAACAGACTTTAATCCATTATCATTTCATAATAATAATATAATATTCTTATCATTTTACAAGTGTTAACCAATTGTTTTAGAATCCCAATACTAATAATTATCATATAATGTTTGTTAGGTGAAAAAATTTACAATGTTTATGATAATCAAGAGGATATTCAAAAGGAAATTTTAATGAATGGTCCAGTAATAGCAAGTATTTTTGTGAAAACAGATTTTTTGGTTTATAAATCAGGAGTTTATTTACCAACACCTAGATCAAGTAATTTAGGTTGGATAAATTTACGAATAATTGGTTGGGGTTATAAAGGAAGAACACCTTATTGGCTATGTGCAAATTCATGGAGTAAAGAATGGGGTGAAAATGGATATGTAAAAGTTCAACGTGGAGTACAAGCAGGTTATATTGAATCATATGTTAGAGCACCAATTCCAAAAATATAGACATGAAATTCCATATGTAAATTAAGACTTTATAGTTTTAGCTGTTAATTATTAATAATTACTTCTGAATTCCTTCTCATTTTTTTAAACTTACAACGTGTTATGTTCTGCCTTCGTTAGATTCAGATATATAAATATCCTTGAGATATATCAGCTACGACATTAACAAAGCACATTATTAGCTTCATCTAATCATATGCCTTGTTTATAATTTCATCTTGAACACAGATATTTGATATGAGGAGATTCACCCAGACTATCACAACGAAATTATTACTTATATTAGTCTAAATCAAAGACCTTTGTTATAACACCTTTATTATTCGTGTATATCAAATGCTGACATATTAAAACATGTGTATCATATCACTTCACTCTTTAAAGCTTTTATTTATCACCTACTTCGGAATACAATAATAACATTACTGTCACGAATCAAAGTCTTATTTTGTGAGTACATTGAACCACACAATTGTAGTGATATTATAGGTTTGGTTATATATTGACTGCAACAATATGCTAGTTTAGAAATTTAAAGCTTGCTCTTTTATTTATTTTAACACATAGATATCGGTACAAGAAGGCACCAAATACATATGCGCCACACATATCTCATTTGATATGTGTATAGGCTGTGATACTGCTCGGGTGCCCAAACTGAAGCAGGTGGTTTTCTTAGGGGACCACACCCCGAGCCTTTGACCTGAACGTCTGACCCACAAGGCAGTGGAGCATCGTAAGGAGATGCAGTCCCATGGTAGCCGGTGACCAACGATTGGTTCATACGCCATTTGTTCCCGCAGGATACTGGAGCCCATGTGCACAATTGGTTTGGGGTCCGGTTAAGGCGCCGGACATTCGCTTTTCGTCCTCTCATTTTCGTAAACAACATCCCCGCCACGAGAAGGCAGTGAGTAGGACTTCCCTGGCAGAGGCTGTATACGCGTGGCCATATGAGAGCATTTCGAGAGGGGGAGCGGACTCCTCCCACTCTCGGCCATACCAGGGCATTTGGGGGCAAAGCTTGCTCTACAAATGTACTATTATTAGATTAAAATAATCAGTATGTTTTTATAACAGAACTTTGGAGTACACGTCAAACCATGTAGTTTCACGGGAAATCAAGAGGAAAATGATCATTTAGGGTTACCGAAAGAGAATGAAGGTTAGGTATCCATGTTTATGGAGAACATAGACGTTTGATGATTTGTATTAAATTTCGAAAAACCCAAAATAACTGCAGTGTAAAAAGAAACACAACGCATATTTTACACAGGATACCTAATGTCGAGAGTTGCATTTTTCCAACCTCTCTAAAGATCCAACAGGAAGAGATTGACAAGAGTTAAAGATAAATCAATGTTAGCAATAAATCTAGAAAATAAGAAAAAGCACCATCAATATCATTAGACACTAGCTGACTTTAAATCGTGACAAAAATGATCAATTAACAGTTCTACTAGTAACACTCATATAATTTAAGCGGTAGTTAGAATAAGTTATCCCATCGACGGAAACTGCTTCATTTTATTTAATATACATACATTCTGGTACAACTGTAGACCAAACGTGTTAGCACCATACAACTAGACAGATAACAGCAGAAATAACGGAGAGTGACTACGATGTATGAAAGGGGTCCGGTTCAAATGACGAGATAACCAAGAAGGACATTTTACAACTTAATGAGTTCCTCTTACTTTATGTCGAATCTGAAAAAACTGCAGCTGAATCCCTGATGATGTCTAATCAGAGCAATGTCCGACAATCCTTCAAGCCAGAGTGACAGTCTCAATCACCCCAAACGTGGAGTCGTGCCGAAAGGACATATACCAGCTTTATACAGCTATTTTTCTTGCCACAGCGCCACCATCTGAACCGGCGATCTCTCCACTTTTCCTCACTCAGTACAAACATCCAGACATGGTGCACGACATAGAGGTCTCTGGGATGACATTCGTAAAGCATACCAATGCCACCGAAGTCGATGGTCTCAAGATGGTAACAGCAATCCAATTATCGTTGCTACACTCGGACACACATTGTTGAATCTCGGAATTAATATGGAGCCGAGACCGGATGTCGGATAAGACGATGATCAAACACGGAGTGTCTCAGAGTATTCTCGAATCGGAGAGGTCACGTCTCACAAACATGTAGCAAAGCTGCTCTCAAACAGTACGTTGTAAACCTGATCTTCTACAAACAAACTAAAATACCGATAGCGCCAAAGATGACTCAGATCAGCATAAGCCGCTCACATTATACGTAGATTGATTTCACTTGTCACGTCATCACAAATACAAACAACTACTAAAGTACATAAACTTTCCAATTAATTTTAACAGGACATAAAAAGTGCGTGTAAGCGCCAGTCTCACAGAAGTGCTTTGAATTTAGGAGCAAATTATATACTTCACTTACGAACACTAACTACAAACTGACTAAGTGTAGTTTTCATAGTTTATGTAACAGCGCACAGTAAGACATCATCGCGTACTTAAAGTTGGACAGTCATTCATCAGGAAACTGCATACATAAGATAAAACTAAAATAGTACTAATTGAAACTTTGAATATATTATATTAGTTTTTAAAACAAACAATGATGGATATACAAGAAACAGATACACGAGATTTATATATTACATTTGCAAAGTTACATATTACTGTACAAAAGATATATATATATATATCATATGGTCCAGTAAATACATATCTCTTTCAACTAAAAATCATTTGCTGTTATGTTTTCTTCTCTTCTTTAAAGGTGAACAAATTGATAGAAGATTAGGATTGGATACATTTGCATTAGTTAGAGCAGTATATAATCGATTTATTGAATTGTTCCGTTCATATATTGAAAGGCATAATTCATCGACTAAATCACAGTAATTGTAAAACAAATGTCAAATAAAAAAATCTCTAAATAGTTAACGATGGTAAGAGTTAAGAATGTAGTTGGTAATTCATGTACACTTTAATCTCTAATCATTGGATTTCTACGTTCGAATGTAGTTTAAAATGCAAGCACGTGTTTACTCACACAATAATAAAAATATAACTTAATTATCAAGCACAAATTCGTGTGTCCGATTTAGTGAAATTACGCGTCTACTATAAAATGAATTAGATGAGACCGACTTTAAACCAATCACCTACGTACTACTACTGCTTAACAAATGAGTAATTTAATTGTTAAGCTGTTGTACTTATTTCGATTATTGTATTTTTGATTACTTCTCCGATTACAAATTCCATATATGGATAAATTAAACGTCTGGAAGTAAAGAAGTTTAAAAATACTGACGATATTGAAGTTTATCAAATTCACCAGATATTACTTATTACTGATGGAATATTTCCCTAGTTGCATATTTCACAATTTGATAATATTATATGTAGACTTGAAAAGTCTTTGTGTTCTAATTTATGTAACACCATTAAAAAAAACTGTAGATACTGTGTGTTTTTAGAAGGGAAATCAGTAAGTCTTGTTTTAAAACAAGCTGACAATTTTACAAAAAATGAAGCACAAGTTCAAGGTAGGAGAAAGATGCTGCAATAAGCAGGCAGGTTAACACCTCACTTACAATTGCTACATATGATATTTTCAACAAACATATCTTACAGAAAGGTATATTCATTTGAATAACCCCTGTTTTGATGATGGTATACTTATTTTATGGGATGTAAACTATGGATCAGTTTAATGAAAACATTTACTTTTTTATGCTCAACTTTATTTATAATGTTAAATTTTAAGTAAATGCACATTCTGAAAATGATAACTGTGTGTTAAATGAAAACTAGGTGACATAATTCAGAAATTGCTAATGCTTTATTTCATAGGTTTTAACAAGCAATTTGTATTATAACACATTGTATGATCGGAAACTATAAAATAAATGATAAGAATGACAGTTAATTACTTAGAACGACATTTGAGTTTATACAAATAGAATTCTAAATAGTTTACACATGAACACTTAACTTTTTGCCTTTAGTTAGCTACTTTTAAACGTCTAGATTGATCATGTATTTTTTTAGTTCACTGAAAATTAGTAAATTAGTGTTTTATTTAGGATAATTAAAATTCATGACATTGTCTCATATGTTTCTTCTTATAACAATATAAAATTTTTAGGCAGTACGGACTATCGCTAACACAATAATTCATCAGTAATAAGAGAATGAATAAGCCTAAATTCAAAATTAGCAGTATAATTGTTAAGTCGATTTGTTTTTCCCTTATTTATATACTACTTACTAGTATTCAGTAACTAGTTTCAATTCTGATAACTTTTGAACATTTTATGTGTAGCAGTTTTCACGTTCTCAGTTGTTAACAGTTTTTGTTTTGATTATTGACAATCACTATAGATGCGCTAAATGCCCTAAACACCTCACAAATAGAGATTCGTGACTATTCTGCGTATATTTGTGCAATGGTAATATCGCCTTTTATATGAAATTTACTTTTGATCCAGATTTTTCTCTCTTAACTTTATCATGTGGTCAGACGCTCTGATAGATTTTACAATATTGTTATGGAATTACAACATATTGGGACAAATAATAATGAAGCATTTAAACTGTACAATTGTACTAATCTACCACGAACAGATAGAAAAGTGACATATATCTGAGGTTCTAAGTCTGAAAAACATTTAATGACCTTCAGGTAATAATGGATACCGATAGATCGTACCATATGTAATTTCTAATGATGTTCATTTTGTCTGAAACTCATTTTTGTATGAGAGTGCCTCAATTCTTTTTAGAAGAAAACGACTGTGATTGTATGGTCGACTGATCCGTTATTTTCTATTGTCAATCATACTCGTGACAAAACAGTAGATTCCGTTTTGTGAACAATTGTTGGTTGACAAATCATAAAGTTAGGCCTTACTAATCGATTAGAATTTTGTGCGTCATTTTAACAGCCGAATAATGCTCATCAGTCACAATTCTTCACATTCCAGGATGATGTAAAAAGTCTACTAGAGCGAAGGAAGAGAACTGAGATTTTAATAAATAGGTGATTAATTTCAGCTTACTGAAAGTACAGATGTGACGGTCGGGACGATATTGAAAAACGAAAATGAAAAAAGTAGATCTCTCAACAATTGTACTTAACAAAAAACACCTACGTTAGTATGTAAGGATTTAATCTAGTTTTAAAAATGACAGTGACCTAAGTGAACTGTTCGACTATACTTGACTGTTACCATTTCGCGGTTGTTAAAATAGGCAGCAATGTCAGTACTGTAAGAGAAGAAATGTAATGCAAGATAATTGCGTTAAAACTGGTCAATATAATGTCATCCTTATCAAAGAAAAGAACTATACAAAAAGATTGTAGGTTCATAGTTTTATTATTTAAATCCCGGTTATCAATAATTAATTCATAAATATAAATCATTTAGTATAGCCATAACATGAGAGCCGCTAGCAAATATAACTCATTTTAGAAGAATCCTATTGATGCTAAGACTCACCTGACTTGACACCATAAACATTTTCCAAAGTTTGATTGATGTGATTCTTCATATTCTTTATATTGTCTACAATTGAGTTGATTTTAGCTGTTTCTTGTTCAATTTTTGTTAGGCATGTTTTAAGCTGAAATCATGATAAAAAGTTCGGTAAAATATATATGATCCAAAGACAAATAATTTATATATTGCACACGAAGACCAAGAACATATGTGGTCTGCTGTCTTCTATGAAACCAAGAAAATAGAACACAGTATACGAATCACTAGAATTTTCAGTAAATATACTCATTTTCATTTTACTTGTGTATAGGCTGTGATACTGCCCGGGTGCCCAAACCGAAGCAGGTAGTTTTCTTAGGGGGCCACACCCCGAGCCTTTGACCTAAAGGTCTAACCCACAGGGCAGTGGAGCGACGTCAGGAGATGCAGTCCCATGGTAGCCGGTCACCAACGATTGGTTCATACGCAATTTGTTCCCTCAGGATACTGGAGCCCATGTGAACCATTGGTTTAGGATCCGGACATTCGCTTGTGGTGCATATATATTTGGTGCTTTCTTGTACCAACATTTGTGTTCAAATAAATAAATAATACGAATCACTACTGAAGTTTTGCACTTCCTTATAAATTATATATACTACTGAATGGCTGAATCAAGACATGACATCAACTCATGAAATCATTGAATGTTTGACTGAGTAGTGTAGGTAGGTGCAGACTACCTGATTAGGGTCAGAACGATTATCGTAACCAATGGTTAGAGATGTTGGGTGACATGGCTTGTGATCGACTGAATTGGGACAGATCCACTCACTCTTGATCTTCTCTTCGATTTTGGGTTTGTAAATCACTATACTGAGTAAATTTCTTCTTTCCTTTCGAATTACATTATCCATGCTAAATCTTCCCTACTACTACTGATACTATTGTTTCTTATGGTCCTTAAATGCCCTGGTACGACGGAGGGTGGGTAGAGTCCGCTTTCCCTCTCCAAATGCTCTCACGTGCGTACAAGTACTGCGAGAGAAGTCCTACTCACCACCTTCCGTGGGCGAGGGGTGTTGTTTATGAAATTGAGAAGACGAAAAGCGAATATCTGACGCTCCAACCGGGTTGGTTGGTGGATATGGAGGATCCACCTAGGGGAGTTGGGAAACCCTCATTCCAAACCAATGGTATACATGGGCTCCAGTATCCTGAGGGAACAAATGGCGTATGAACCAATCGTTGGTGACCGGCTACCATAGGACTGCATCTCCTGACGTTGCTCCACTGCCCTGTGGGTTAGACCTTTAGGTCGAAGGCTCGGGGTATGACCCCGTAAGAAAACCACCTGCTTCGGTTTGGGCACCCGGGCAGTATCACAGCCTACACACAAATCAAGTGACTTGTGTGGCGCATATGTATTCGGTGCCCCTTTGTGCCAATATTTATGTGTCAAAATAAATAAATAAAATATGATACTCCTAGATCTATCGATGTGGTAATACGGCACGGCAACTTGAACTAATGTAAATATGCACCATGTTTTACAATGATCATGACTGAATATTCCGATAATAGGAAACACGAAACAACAACACATACTCACAAGTTGTAAAACCAATTGTTTAGTTGCTACAATAGTATAATGAAGCAGTTTATAATTTGGTAACTAAATTGAATTTTTAATCTCAACAGTTCACCGAATTGGTTATTTATACTTAAAACGTATGGTAAGCATCAAATTAGACAAAAAAGGTGACGAATATTTATCATAACGAGGCGTTTTACTTACTACTGTAATTCTATTCGTGTAAGTAATAATGCGATTTTCAATAGCTTTGTCACGTTTTTCAGAGTAAACCAACTGGAGTTCATCATCTTTGAGAACTACTGAAGAATTCAGATACAGTACTTTGCCGACTAAAAATATCTGAAATAATCTGATTTATATTCATTGCGGTATATTTACATCGAAAGAATCAAACATGTCTACAAGACGGTCTTCAAGTTTTTCTTTTAAGTAGTAAGTGAGCGATTGAAGTTTCTCTGCTGTAAATTTTAATCCAAACTAAAAGAACATTGTAAAGTTAACAGAGAAGAGATCAAACTTTATCCAATAACTTCTCACTGAATTCATCTATCATTTGTCCCAAATGAGTAATGATCACATTGTACACTAAAAAGAATGTTGAATAATCACAAAAAAACGGGAGGATTACAATCATCTGAAAGTTGAAGAGGTGCAAACCCAAGTAGCTTTGATACATATTCTTGTGCAACCTCGATTGGAACGGACACCGTTTGTGCCTCATTTTCGTGCATCATGAACAACCAACCAACACGAATTTATGTCTAAATATTTACAAATAAGTGAACAAGATAAGTTAATTTTAACATCATTACATGTGAAACAAACAAAAATCTAAACGAAATAATAATTCAAAAATTATACATAGTGGGAGGTTTTATATATGTCACGATGATTGATTTCAAGTTTTCACATCATTTGCAACTTATTGATTTATGGCGCACAAAATTGGTTATGCACACAAAGATGACAAATGCTGTTTGTGTTTATTTAAGTACAGAAGAAACTGAATAAAACGGATGTGCCAGGTAACGTGTCATGCAAATTAAGACGATAACATTGTGAAAAAATGGGACAAGGGATCTAATTTAATGATGACCATTTAAAACAAAGTATAAGTAAGGGTAGAAAAAGCAAAGCCTTAGTTTTGTTCAGAAGTTAATTTCACTGTACATGTAAGCAAGTAAAGGAAACTGCAGTAATATTTTAGAGGTACATTTGACGATGTTTCAAATAGTTGAGGTGCGATGTTTTTGACTTTAATTGGGGGTGTCAGCTACAACCATGTACCAGTACATGTAAAAGTCTCATAAACCTATTTCCATTTTTAAAGAGCAAAATAATAACGAGCCTTTTGTGCAACTTTTGAAATTTCGATTAACATTATTCTAAATGATTTGAAATAACTTAAATCAGTAGTAGTGAGAATGGTTAACTACACTGTTTTTGCCAGCAAAACATCTGGACCAAAAATTGGGTCAAGTATCTGATATTGACTCACAGTATATAAGGTACTAGAATAACCACCATCAGTTATTAACCTAAGTGTTATGCTGGGTCTCCAAGTAAGAGTGATGTCATGAAATTCGTAATTAACCTGAAGAGAGAAGACAATCCCGATATTTTTCGGGGTTCGTGGTCTCGTTTTATTAGCAAGATTACAAAAATATTCCTTGGTTAAATTTCAACTTAAAGCAAACTATTACTTAAAGTGGTTACATCATGCGGAATCGGTCGATCTTAACTAGCTATTCAATTTTTACGCGCATAAAGATTCCTAGAGGTAACAATTTTTAGATTAAAATTAACCGATAAACCTGACTCAAGTAACGTGAAATTATTTTGTGAACAACTTGAGTGTATATACACAATCAAAAATGACAAACGTAACCTTACGACTGATTTCAAAACAGAGTTAAACGGGCTGACTTTTGTTTTTTCTTAAAAGTCCTAGAGGAATCACGTAAAATGAACGCACAAAGCTGGTTTATCCTTTACGTCAACCACAGAGCAAACGAGGTGTTTATATGACCATCAGAGCTAATGTAGAGCGGTTCATTTTGTTACTTTGTAGATACATGATTTTTGAAAGCCTGTCGTATGCCCTGATGGTGTTCTCGTAACGTTCGAGTTGCCTGATCTGCCAAGGGCGATGGGACAGTGCATGATGCTATTGTTGTGTGCTAGGTTCAAAGAGAATTGTATGCTATATGCATGCAAATCCGCCCCGTTATTGCTCCTATTTCAGCCCCCAAATGCCCTGGTACGGTCGAGAGTGGGGAGAGTCCTCTCTCCCTCTCGAAATGCTCTCACATGGCCACGCGTATATAGCCTCTGCCAGGGAAGTCCTACTCACTGCCTTCTCGTGGCGGGGGTGTTGTTTACGAAAATGAGAGGACGAAAAGCGAATGTCCGGCGCCTTAACCGGATCTCAAACCAATTGTGCACATGGGCTCCAGTATCCTGCGGGAACAAATGGCGTATGAACCAATCGTTGGTGACCGGCTACCATGGGACTGCATCTCCTTACGATGCTCCACTGCCTTGTGGGTCAGGCTCGGGGTGTGGTCCCCTAAGAAAACTACCTGCTTCGGTTTGGGCACCCGAGCAGTATCACAGCCCTCACACAAATCAATTGAGATTTGTGTGGCGCATATGTATTTGTTGCCTCCTTGTACAAATGCCTATGTGTTAAAAATAAAAATAAATAAATAAATAAATACATCAACCTCTATACTGCAATTCTTATTTATCAAATGTGCCCCAGTGCAACATGTGAAAGAAGCGACTAGGTACGATCCTGACCCTGAATCATCCTTACTAGATCTTGTATTGACCCATTATGAGGATGACGTCATGAACCTCAATTACATTCCATCCCTAGGTAGAAGTGATCATGCAGTTCTAATCTTTAACTTCCATATAGTTGCCAAAAACGAGCACGCGTCAGCCCAACCCAGACCTAACGTATAGAAAGCATCGTCATTAAATTGGACAATAGAGCCAGAGTCCCCAGCTCAAACAGCTTGGGATGTATTTTTAAATTTGTACTTAGAAGTTACTGCATTCCACATCCCTTGAACTACACCAAGGGGTCCGAAAGACTCTCCACCATGGTTCAGTAGGGAGGTTCGCATCCTTCTCCGTAAGAGAAAAGTGTGGGAAAGATTTAGGCTACTGGATATTGACGAGACAAAATATCAATATCGAGAAGCTCGAAGTACGTGTTCCTCGACCGTCCGTAAGTCTAGAAGGTTGTATGAAGAAAAAAGCGCTAAGGAATCTATAGAACGCCCTAAACGCTTGTATTCGTATATAAGCCAAAGGAACAAAAGAGGAAATATTCCAGCACTGTGGGGAGACAGTAATGTATCATCGTTAGTGGAGGACGACTATGGTAATGCTCAAGTATTTTCAAACTACTTTAGCACTGTATATACCGTAGAGACACCCTTCCCGTTAGTTCACACAAATCCCACACACAAACATTGGACAATGTAACCATTAAAAAACTCGATGTACTTGATTTGATAAATAAACTTGATATAGGCAAATCCACGTGACTCGATTAGAACTGCATGATCACTTCTACCTAGGGATGGAATGTAATTGAGGTTCATGACGTCATCCTCATAATGGGTCAATACAAGATCTAGTAAGGATGATTCAGGGTCAGGATCGTACCTAGTCGCTTCTTCCACATGTTGCACTAGGGCACATGTGATAACCACATCAACTAGTTCCTGCTCGAAGGAATTTTCTCGCAATCAAGTTCTCAGATTTTTCCAGTCTACCGTGGGTGCATTAGTCTCCTAGGATTAGATATCGACCACTTTGTGACCAAGTATTGAAACCGTCTAGCAAGACCTCATTTAGCTCACTGAAGTAGACTAAACCAATCAGAAACTTTTGTTCCTTGCATTTCAAGCGGCAACTAACTAATTCACACGTCCCACTCTGAAGGGATACATTGTCAATAATGGTAAGTGAGATAGTATTCCTAATAAATAGAGCTAGTCCTCCTTTATGCTTCTGTCGGCTCTTACTAACGCAAAACCTTCGAAATTAAGTTCCATACTATTTATAGACTATGTCAGTCAAGTTTCTGTGACCGCGATTACATTCGACTTGTTAGAGTCAATCTGTAAACCTAGATCCGATCACTTATTGAGCAAACTTCGGGTATTTGTGAAACAGATCCGAAGTCTATTGAAATGGCTTTGTGCTGCACCTATAGTGGCTTCGGCACTATTTTCTGTCGAGGCCATACAACCCGGAAATTTACGATCTTGAGGTCCTTTTTGCCTGTACCAATTCATTAACTTTCGTTAAAGCAGCAACCACAGTTGCGTCAAGCACACTGGAATTCTGGAAGATTATCAACGACTTGGGCGGCCAGGTTGTTTTTTCTGCTAGAAATAGATCTGACATTGCGGTTAGGTTTTTAGGCGTTTCCTGCTGACTACCATTTAGGAGACAGGTAAAAGAAGAAACTCCCTTTCTGGAGTTTTTATTTCGGACAGACTTCTCTGAAGTCGGTCTTTCCTCCTTTGATCCATGTAAGTCAACTGTTACTGCACTTAATTGAGGTGAATTCACATCAATTTGTGTATCGACAGAGCAAGTACTGCCCGATGTGCATTGGCCTCATTTACTAATACACTTTCTAGCAGCATTTACCACTGAAATGGCCTCGATTAGCAATCTGCTTGTGTTCGACAAGTAATGCTGACAAAACTGCATGTAACCCCTTTTACTAGACCGTTTGAAAGTCGCAGGCGTTAGATTCGTGCAAAATTCGTGGTACCATCCTTTACACTCATCGCACTGAATGCGTCTTTCAACGAAGTATCGACAGCCTGGGAATTGACAACTGCTTTTCTTGAACTGCTCAGTTGTCAAACAGGGGTTTTCGAAAAGAAGCTAGATATGATAGTGCCCAGAGACAAAAGAAACTGATGAACAAAAAAGTGGAGAACTGTAAATTGTTGGAACAGAAAGTGCTAAATACAATGGAAACAAAGTACTGAAAAGTACAGAAGGTAAACTACTTTAGCGAATAATTTGACTGAAAACAGCAGTCTTTTTACGTAATAGACGATCAAAATAATAAAATTTATTCGGTGACACAATCTCACAAGTTCGGGGAAAACGCCAAAGTCAAATGACCTTTACCAAGGTTAAAGGGAAATTTTAGTGCCAGTTTCACAAAAGTCTCTATAGCGGCTTCCCGAAAATTGGGAGGTTGGGGAGGAAGAACACCAGTCTATTTTAAATAGCGTGCGTTCCCCTGGATTTGGCAAAAGCTCCTTTAGAATTGGTTACTTGCATAGAGTATGAGCTTTGCTTCTTTTTAAAGTTCTTTACGTCGGCCGACGCCGCATGAAGAACAGAAATTAATTTCCGTAATTATATATAGACTAGTACTACACTACTGTTTAAATACCTATGGTGAATATGGTGCAGTCAATTTGAATACTGTGTAAAACTAGCGGATGACTATGAACGCAAATCTATACAATTCTACAATGAACTATGTTGAAACTACCGTATTACTGAAGACTGACCAGAAATTTAACGAACGGATGAGGCGGTCACCTCGAAAAGCCGCTAAAACCATAAGGGTCGTTGGTCGATGCATTTTAAAAGTGTATTATTGGATATTGTTCGGGAGCAGACGTTTTAATAAAGAATCATATATATATTTTTACATTCTTTTAATACTTATAAGTCTTGGTGTATTGGATAAACAGTAGACTAAATAAGCGGTAAAGTTGTGAGTGTCCAACGTGTGGGAACAAAATAAGTGAAGGGTTTTTCTAAACTCCTTTACGATGAGCGTTTAAAACGCCTTGACCTTTTCTCCTTGTAGTATCGTAGAACGCGGGGTGACCTCACACTGGCATTTAGTGTCTTCAACTACGATTTGGGTGTTAATATGTCTTATCTTTTTGCTCCCTCCAGCACTAATAAACTACGAGGTCATAGAAGAAGGTTCACAAACCGCCACCTAATTAACTTCAAGTGAGGTTCGAACAAGTGCTATCAGCTCCATCAGTGAATATTTTCAGGAAGAAGCTGGACCTTCAGTGGAAGGAAATCTGTCAGGAGTAAAGCAGGTTCACCAACTTACTATCCTTATTACTGAAGACTGAAAACTGAAGACTGGATCAATCACTGAATGTAAGCAGAAGAAATTGATGCTGTTTCGATTAAAGTCCCTCGAAAATCAGTAAAACTGACAAGGTAATCAGCTCTTATTTACTTTAATTACTTCACAAACTATTCAGGGTAGGTATATTGAACTGAGATGTGAGAGAATTTTGTTTATAAATAAACATAGCCTTAGAAAATGTCTACGCCGCTTTCTCAAAAATTGATGTGTAGTATCGTCAGTAATCATGCACCATGTTCTGTTGATAGGAGGTTTCATCGATCAAAAAGGTGCGCAGTATGTGTACGGCCAGCTTAGACGAAACAATGAGCTCATTCACCATACGCTTAACTTCATATGGCTAGTAACATTACACTCCATAGCACAATAAGCTAATCCAAAAGTTTGCATAGGGCAGGAGAAATATCTGAAACAGGCTTGTCACAATCAAGCGTGAAGCAATTGGTCAGATTACCTTAAGATTTCAAATATATGGCAAACAGAAATCGCCAGATCAGAGACTGATTGTATCGTCATCATTTTAGTTTTCAGGTGATGTTAGATTTGAAGGACAATATGTACTAATATTGATAATTCAGAGCTTTGAAATGACTCAGACATATTTATTGTTTGGAACACAGTTTTCTGGTTCATCAATAGTCACCAGTACGACATAGGTATGTCATTGAAATTTACGAATTTGTGGGGCCCTTTATTTTGTCGTCATTTAGATCGGACGATGTTGTCGAAGGGCTCTCCACTTTAGTGGCCCGTGACCTGGCTCCAATTTGATCATATGAATGATTGCTGTCGAAATATATATGTCGCCCATTCTCGTATATGATCTTCGACTTTAACCGCGTTAGTCAATAACGGAATTAAATAAGTCAAATAACGAGAATGGACTTTTGAGTACATATATTTTGTATGTGAAGCGAATGGAATGGAGAGAAGCAAAACGACGCGCAGTACAGATGGAGGATAAGCCAACTCTCGTTTCACCAAACGTTAGTCAATATTTATAGACACACAAAAACAAGTTACAGATATGTGATGAGTAATGGGATAGGAAGTGTACACGCACCTACGCGCTCATATAAAAACAGTCAAGATTGATAAGGGAATGATTAACAGGGCCAAAATGTGACTTACGTAGGATGAATAGATTGGGCTGTTCGAAAGCTAGAATGAGGCATATGGGCTTAACATAATAACAGACACTACAAATTAAAGCTGTTTGTAACGTGGAGTGACTGTTGGAGTTATTTTGAACAGGCGTGCCTTTACGCCTGTTACCACTCGTGGGGGAGCATAGACCGCCCACTATTACTCTTCATCGAACTCTTTCCTGGGTAATCCCCTCCAGTTGGTTCCAGTTGCTATTCATTCTTTTTATATCTGCTTCTAATTCTCCACGCAGTCCGTTCCTCGGCTTTCCTCTTTTTAGTTTCCCTTCATCATTACACATCTTCCGGAACCCATGCATTGATCGTGTTTTGGTTGTTGTTTGCCGTGTTGTATTTGAGGATGTTGCTCTTTCCCTTGTGTATGATGCGGTGTACTGATGCAGAGGCTTCTGCTACACTAGTTGTCTGCATCTGTTGATGTGTATGGGACAGAAGAGCAAAATTATCTGCAAATTTCAAATCATGTCGTTGAATGGAAGCCGTCCATTGTATTCGTGCTCCACCTGGAATATGGAGGTCTTCATCATCTAGTCAACCATTATAAGATAGAGAAAGAGGGAACGTTAACAGTCTTTTCTGACACCGGACCTCACTTGAGATGCACCTGTCATCAGTTCTCCATGCATTGCGTTGCACTGTAGTCCGTCGCATAAATTCCACGTGATGTTGATGATCTTCTTAGGCACACCAATGTCGAGGAGGGTTACAAAAGATCCTTCTATCCATAGTGTCAAATGCTTTCTCATAATCAAAGAAGTAGATGCATAGTGATGAGTGCCACTCAGTTGATTGTTTAACGATGATCCGCAGTGTCGCGATTTGTTCTATGCACAGCCGATTCTTACGGATTCCGGATTGTTTAAAAGTTGGGAGTTACTGGTGCTGACAGTAGTGTGACACCTCTGTAGTCTTCATATTGGCTTTGATCACCTTTTTTGTTATCTTGATGTAGTAACCTTTCTAGTCCGTTGGCACTTATTCTACCTCCCAAATCTTCCTGAATAGAACGTGGGGCATGTTTACAGTTACTCCTATGTCTGATTTGAGTGCATCAGCTGGTTTATTATCAGGTCCTGTAGCTTTACCGTTTTTTATTTGCCTGATGACCATCCTGATTTCTTCGATCACTGATGGATTGACAGCTGTAGGAAGGTCTGTGTGTGGTTCTTCGATATCTAGTGAATTCAATGGATCTGGTCTATTCAAAAGTTCTTCAAAGTATTCTATCTATCTGTTCCTCTATTCCTGAATCTAGATGATTGTCTTACCTTCTTTTTCCTTGACCAGTCTCTCTGGTTTACTATATTCACCGGCTAGTTTCTTTGTCGTGTCATATTATTGTTTCGTATTTTCTTCTCTTGCAGCTTTTTCTTCTGTCGTTGCTAACTCTCCCACGTATTTGTGCTTGTCGACCCTAGTGCTCTTTTTCACTTGCTTGTTTGTTTCTGTGTATTCAACTTGTTCCTTGAATTTCTCTGCCATAGGGATTGTCTTATTGCCAGTTTACAAAGCCTTCAAGTATTTGGCGCAGAGATGCCTAGTATTTTATGTCATACTCATACCAGACATGATATTGAACACTGAATACAACCAGCCAAATCATGTATCTGTAGATCTTTAAGTTGGATGTTACATCCTACTCCATTTGAATAGGGGCGGAACGTCTTTCTGGCTTAGATTAAAGTTACATAACCTGGCTTGTCCTACGGTGACAATCAAGTGAATCTACATCTCTGGTGACTATCTAAGATAAATACATTCTTACCAAAACAGTACATTGCAGAGAATTTTTGACGAGGAATTAGGTTATACCAGTTCCATATGGCCCTTCACAGTACGTTGGTAACTAATCTACACTAGCTATCCATAACCTTGATCAGGTTTGGCGAATCGCTTGGCTGTCAGCGTACACCGTCAAAACGACTTAGCTCGATCAACCTTTTGGCCAATCCACAGAACTATTTCACTGGTCTGACATTTCGTTAAAGATGTCGACAAATTCCATATGTTAGAAGTTAGTCTGCGGAATGATTGCTACAGCAGTCGGATCTAGAACTTTTAGCATAAACGGTAGAATAATAGCCGTTTAACTGTAGCTGATATTATTATGTGCTTCATTCATTCATCGGTCGAATGGGAGATGATGTAACTGCTTTACGTTCATAGTATTACGATGTATTTAAACCATTCAATGACTGCTTGTCATGCCCAACCCTAACTATGTGACAACAATAACTCCTGGAGAATTGGTAGAAACTTTCAGGAATAATGTTGTATATTCGCCAGGACATGTTAGATAAGTACGAAATATGATCTCACTATCACGTGATTTTATTAATGCTATTCATTGACCCATACTCGTAATTTTCAATGTTCTTGACCACTTTCATCAATCGATCAACGTGCAATGATCAGTATCCTACGATAGGTATAAGAATAACTTGACAGATAAGTTGACTAAAGCTCAATTTGATTCAACTGCTTCCATAATATTATATGTATTTAACACAATAGAAATCTAGGAGTTATCTCTAGCGCGGTGTCGAGTTGAGCTTGACTATGAACACCGCTACAAGGCTACGTGCCAATTAACCAATAAGATCCCCGTAGGCCAATATAAGAAGACAAGTTCAAAGTCAACGGGAGAGTAAGTAAGTGTAATGGCTGTCATTAGCAAAGTTAAACAAACGAGCACAGTAAAAGTCACTGGTACAATTGGTTATAATAATAATTGTTTTCATTGAACCAATCGCGTTCTGTTGACAAAAGTAGGTCACTACATATCTAAAAGCAATGTAGTTGCTACGAATGAATCAAGTTGTGAAAACAGGAGACCATTAAGAATTCAGTTGGTCCATATTCTGGTAAACTAGATGAAAAGTAAATGAATCAAAATCAGAAATGTCATACCCACAAATAATTACCTATCTATTTTTTCATGACATCAACTAAGACTTTTAGAAGAAAGTAAGCAGTAAAAATAGTTTAAACATAGATATTTGTAAAAACAATCGGTATCTTAACCTGTGATAAGTGATAACGAAAACTATATTCAGTTAAGAGCAATTTATTTAGATACTGTGATCTACGAACATAAAATGGTTCTACAATGTATAAATGCATACACTATTTCTGGCAGTTTGGTCTCAAACTCAATACTTTGAATAATTTTATATTAAACAAGTTGCATCTTGACAGTGAATCACTTAGCTTAATGGTCAAAACGAAAAACTTAATCAGTAGAATTAAATTATTTCTATGAGTTACATTGTATGACATTGATTACTATTCAATGATTAATTTCTTAAAATTTGTTTCTCATGTAGATAAAGAACTTAATCACTAATGACATTCATACCGGGAAGAATAATTTTGAAATTCACTTGGTGTTGTTTACTTGTATCTTGCCATTGTTATTTAGAACTGCAATTGATCGGTCCCTTGTTGGTATATATGCAACCTAAGCGGATCGTCTCAATATTTCCTGAAGTTTCAGGCTTTATAAGCAAAGATAGATAGTGGCTAGCAGTGGAATCCGGGACGCGCGTTTCATTCTATTTGGGGCTCGTCAGTTGGATATGTCTGAATCTCAGAGTTGATATCCACTCCAGGATTTGAACCCAGTACCGTTCGCTTCAAATGTCATCGCGTTATCCATTTAGCTACTAAGTCTTGATAGCCACTTGTCCCAAATAGAATGAAACGCTCATCCTGGATTCCACTGTTAGCCGCTATCCATCTTGGCTTAAATGAAGTAAATTAGTAACTAACTCACAACGAAAGAGAGAGAACGAAAGAAATAGGGAGACGGAAAATTTTTCATGAAAGTTAACTAATCTATTTAAAAACGGGAAAAGGACATTTATATATGAACAATAAAATTTTTTTAATGTATCTATATAGGCTTTAGTTAATATTTCATTTTGCCATATTATTATTTATGTACTGTTTATTTGATTGTCCAGTTAATACATGCTGATTATTTATAAGTACATATATATAAACCACAAAGTTCATTCTTTTACATTCACAAACAATAATAGATACCATAGTATCAAGTAATAAAACACCATTAGAAAACTACATCTTAAAAACACTGTAACAACAACAATGTACATAAAATGATGATTAGTTGCTATGACATCCATAACATTATTAAACTCTATTCAAGTAATCTAATTTTATATATATGAAAACCGATTACCTTTTTACATAATGGAAATTTTACTAAATAAAGGGATTAAATAACTTTTATGAATGAAATTAGTGCTTTGTCAAAATCTACTGAAGTACTCAATGATAACGTAGATGGCAGTAAAGGTAAGAAAATATAGATTAATTATGATTATAATTTAAATTAAAATCAAGTAATAATTTATTTTTATCACTGAAAAATCCCCATTATATTAAAACAATTATATGGACGAAGAATATTCGTTTCAATAATTCCTCATCAGGTTCTATAATTATCTCATATCCAAATTAATAATCCATAAAATTGGCCAGATTCAAGGTAGAGTACATCATATGGAAATTGTAATATGTGAATCAAGGATTGTTGTTTTTCATATAAAATCAAATTAAATCAAATTGTTAATGTTGGGGCTGATTAATATAAAGTGTTAACTTGAATCAGTTTATAAGTGAAATGAAATTGTGCGATAAATGATCAGAATAAATATGGTCAACATGGGATGAAATAAAAATCAAAAATTATGTAATATGTAGAATATTATGAATTAGATCAAATATAGTAGATAGGGATGGATACTAAATAAATTACTCACAAAGGTTATCAAGTGTAATAATAATAATCATGATAAAGATAATAATAATAATAGTAATAATAATAATGATGGTAAACATAATAATAATAATAAGTTTGGGATATAAAAATGCATATTATTCAATTACGTCAGCTTAATTGATTAGGGTTCATTTTTGAGAAGTTTATCCACCATCCACCCTTATCTAGTATATCTAACCTAACTCATCACTAATTTGGATTTATAAATTGTAGAACCTGGTAAGAAACCATTGAAAAGAATATTCTTCGTTCATATAATTTATTTTAATATTTAAATCAAGTTGGTTAGTTAGTCGATTGAACAATAAAATTTTTATAAGTAGTATAATATTAATATTCATTTCAAATTTTCTTAAGAAAGAAAAAAATATAGAGAATATAATTTTTAACTAGTTGAAATCATGAGTCAATTGAAGCTACACCACCATGGAAAACCTAGAAGCACTGAAAGGCCTTTTGGTCCTATTGTGGAACTCCCTAGCAGTGTGCATCTACGATCCCATCCCCGCGAGATTCGAACCCAGGACCTATCAGTCTCATGATTTCAACTAGTGAAATTTCTAAAATCTCCACAAAACCCCTTCTGATATAATTTTTTATTCAAGAAAATCTATTTTTAAATTTGACCAATCATAATTCAGTTTTTTAAAATAAAAATAGTTTATTATTATTATTCTATGAAACGAAGAATATTATAAATAAAATATAGAAAGTATTTTGAAAGTCAATAATTCTGTTTAAGAACGTAACACTTAAAGGTTCATATATAAATTTTTCGGGTAAAATATCAAGTTACAAAAACTGGTGTCAATAGTGAAATAGAGAATAATCTTGAAATGTATATATCATTCAAATAGCTATTTATTATGATATCAAAGGAAGCTATATCAATAATTATACCTGATTTACAATAGTTTGATAGAAAAGATACTCTTCTTTCGTAACCTGTTATAAAATTAGTCATTATGATGTAGAAAGATTAGTTAGATATCATCTTCCTAAAGTAGTAACCATCCACTCTCTAAAACAACATAAGATGAATATAAGCAAAGATAGATGGTGGCTAGTAATGGAATCCAGAATGCGCGTTCCCTACTCTGAGACTTGAGTCCAGTACTTTTTACTTGAAGCACCATCACATTATCAACTTAGCTACTGAGTCTTGATAGTTACTAGCTTGTGCAATGAGGTGAAGTTTAAATTCACTTTGCATTGTTTATTTGTATCTTCCCATTGATGTTTAGGATTGCAATTGATCACCATCCATCTTTGTTTATAATGCTTGTGAATTAAGGTAATATCGAGGTAATCCGTATAGGATGCACACACTCCAATAAGAGACTGATCAATTGTAGTCCTAAACATCAATGAGAAGATTCAAATAAACAATACAAAATGAATAAAATAAATATGTTTAACAATCTTCAGAAACTTGAATTGCACTAAAATATAATATTATTCACATTAATTGATCATTGATAATGAACTAGTGTTACACCTATTTAGTCTTTAAGTCTGATGAAATTCTATTAACCATTTATAATGAATGATTACTTTGTCATGAATTCAACTGACAGAATCTACTACATCTTCATATTAATAAGTTTTATATTTTCTCAACGAGGCACTGATCATGATTAAGTACTCAATTTATTGCTATAAAACATATGTAAAAGTTCCGTTGTTTTGATTTCCCAGAAACCAGATGTAGATTGTTTTTGCTTCATTTTAATTTTTTGCAGTAAATTTGATCAAATATTTAGCAATATTATCATAAATTTGCCATATTTGTACAGAAACTAAGAAAAATTCGGCGCGAATGAAAAATACGACCAATAGAAAAACTGATCCGTTGAATACATCAAAACCACCCAATGATGTAGAGCCAAAATCGTCGGAGACAGTCAAGGGCGAAATTCATGGGATTGAATATAAGATAAGTCGTGAACCAGAGATTGTATTCGTAGATCAGTTGGATAATGCATATAGATGCGTGAAATGCAACCGTGTATTGCGTGTACCATTTTTATTTGAAGACTGTGGACATAGATGCTGTTCTGGTTGTGTACCGGATATATTCAGGTAGGTCAAAATTAAAAATGAACAAATTTTCCGAATTCATAAAAATTATTGTCATAACTGATGAAGTGTTATGGATGGAATGAAAACAAAAATGTTATGTTAATCATATTTGAATTCCATTTAAACATGACGAAATATCTTTCGATCTCTCAACATCACATATTCACTATAAACTGTTAAGAGGAAGCACTCACGTCAACGAACAGCCAAACAATTGCCTATATACAGTTCATCAGACAATAGTTATTCAGAGATATATGTGCATAATAATCATTCGAATTCATGTCACGAATTCAAGTGTATCAGTGAATTATCATCAAGATATTTGATGTTAAAAGTTGCTTAAACTACAAGGTAATACAGATTCGATGTTTCACTGTTGATCTGATGTCAACTGGATAGAAATGTTGCACACTAAATATGGTGTTTCACTCATAACTTCCCATTCACATTCCTCTTGTTGACAATGTTTGAAAGTAGATCCCAGTCATTCAACCACGATACACCTACTATTGTAGAAAGAAACCTATCAGATATGGTGATATATGTGGTTGAGTTTCACTTCAAATTATATTGAAATTAATGTTGTGTTTTGATGGGAAATTTCACACACTCGGTATTGAGATGAATTTTTTTTGGTAGAAATCACCGTTCGTTCTATCGAATCATCCAACTACACGATTGATATACGGGTGAAACCAAAGTTCAAGAACACATCGATTTGTGTAAAGAACGGTTATTTTATTTCAGGAGCACAAGCATAAACTGGTGACAATCTCAACTCGTGAGATATGTGAATAGATTGACGCGTCCGTAAATCTGGAAAGAGATAGGCTTTGTGTAATAATATCATATAGCGTAATTACAACACACCAAAGCGTAAATGACGACTGATATTCGTATCGAATGTTAACAACAGTTTATGAGCAGCCAAAATCGGAACTAAGAGCACACAAATCTGGGAACTGTCGAGTTTAAACATGGATCCAAGGAATAAACAAAACTGAGGACAATTTTTGCAGGAGTTTAGAGCAAGCAAGTCGTGTGAAACACCACTTCCAATATCAACCATCCAATCAACATCAATCATCATTTTGATTTATGTCAATCAGTGTCCTCAACTAAATTACAAATAAAATGGTTGACTGACATTAACACTCTAATTACAGTTCAGTCATTCCATTTACATGGAACTACGAAACTGCCAAACATTCAGATGTATGTTACATAAAGTGTTCAACATACACATTACATGGTTCATATGGTTCATCTAGCTTATTCTGATTTGTAAATGAAGAATTTTTGAAAGTGGTATTATGTAATTGGATGTTTAGTTAGATAGACTGCGAATTATTTTGTTCTTGATTACTCTGAGTGTAACTGAGAACAGTAAGTTATGATTGCGATCGAGAAGACTAAGCCTATTATTTTGAGTAGACTTAGGCTTCATTGAAACAATAACGTGATATCCCACTGCATCTATCAATTCAAATGTGGGTGTGTGTACACAAATACATAGGGAAGAGTAACCAAACATCCTAACCAAGTTTGACAAACACGTTCGTCATTTGCCATATGGTCAGTTAGCGTTAAATGCTTCGACGAACGCAGAGATCAGAAAACCATCCTATTCGTTAGCAAAACACAGTTGAAACTGGTCAGAGGATTGGATCTGAACTGCTTTGAAATTTTGTATGGAGATTGTCAAGGGTATTCTGTGAAGATCCTAGAAATCTGAGTCACTAGGAATTTCAATACTTATGATGGTGATAGTTATCAAAGCACTACTAACTATCTAGTAATTATTTATGTCCAGTTGTATAACTATCCTATTGCACATACACTAAATAGTCTTTACATCTATCTCGTTAACTTACGAATTATGTGAGGAGAGGTTGGAAGAATATTTCGCCGCGATATTTAAAGATTATTATAAATTTAATATTCATTGCTAACAAAACTACAAAATTCTATAGTTGAAGCTTTTTAAGCTTTTAAGTATTTTTCCAACATGAGTTATTGGAGACAGGCATTCATACCTCACCTACATTTCAAACAGACTTGTATGAAGCATTGAATAAAATTTACAGAAATATATTTACAACAAACCGTTTATGATGATTGACCTAATTTTAAAATAAATTTTCTATTTATGATAGAGCAACTTCAAAATGTCCAATAGACAAGCAAAACCTGAAAAAAGATCGTGTTCATTTGGACAAAGCATTTCAAGAACACATGGATGGGCTGACTGTGAAATGTTCTTATCATACTGAAGAATGCTCATGGATAGGAATTCTCAGTGAACTAGGCTATCATGTCAGTCAATGTGAATATAGAATTGTCTTATGCCCAAATGAGTGTGGTACAGAATCTCAAGTTAGTTAATATGACAAAACATATAGATGTAAATATTTTTTTGAAAAGTGCTTTAAACTGATTCTGTGTTTGGAACTAAATTTATAAGATTACTTACTTATTTACGCCTTTTACCCCTCGTCGAAGGGCATCCCACCAGCACTCTCTATCCAACCCTGTCCTGGGAAATTCTTTCCAGTTCCTTTCAGTTATTTTTCATCATTTTGATGTTTGTTTTTCATTTCCGATGCAATGTGTTAGCGATAATTGAAAACATGAATTGCTGTTCTTATAATTATGCTTATTAGAGAAGTTTAAAAATGAGAATAAGGATAATTTGAATGTTATCTGTTAGCATACAATTGCAAATGAGGTATTTACTTAAATCTATTTATCATATATTACTTAAGCCTTCCTTATACTGTTTGATTCAAAAGACATTGACATTTAAGTAAATATTTTCAACACATTATGAATGAACGAAGTAGTCATTCATTTATATAAAAATGTGTCATTTCGTTAACAAAACATGAACGTCCTAACATATTAGTCTTTACCTACAATTCACATTGGAACCAATTTTTGCTTTTCATATAAATAACTACATTATCAGAAGGGGTTTTGTGGAGATCTTAGCAATTTCAAAAGTTGAAATCATGGTTCAATTGAAGCTAGACAACCATGGAAAACTTGGATGCACTGGACGGCTGTTTCATCCTATTGTGGTTCTCCTCAGCAGTGCGCATCGACGATCCTGCTCGTGATCTAACTTTAAGTGACTCATGATCTCAACTATTCAAATTACGAAAATCTCCACAAAAACACTTCTCATACTAATCAACATATTCTCACTAGTGACTGGCTTCAAGATGTCTATCCTGGAGTTCAAGTGAAAATTAGTAACCAGTGGAGTTCAACCTGGTCAGTTATGAGATAGTAACTCACTCATGACAATGATGGATGTGTCGGTCAATTTTGTGGATGAGTTGAAGTTAGACATTAACACCGTTGGATGCCTGCCGTATCAATGGTCTAGAGATTAAGCGTATGCGCGCGAGACCGATAAGTTCTGATTTTAAATCCAGCGAGACTGGGTCGTGGATGCACACTGCTGAGGATTACCACGATGGTACGAAACGGCCGTTCAGTGCATTCAGGTTTTCCATGATGGTCTAGCTTCAATTGACTCATGATATCAACTATTGAAACTAAATTATCATTAAATGAAATATGAATTGTTATCTTTCCTTTTTTAAAATTTTTTTTTTCCAATCCATCTATAAGAGAAAATCAATTGAGAATCATATTAAAAATGATTGCCCAAAACGTATTAAACAATGCAAATTTTGCAATGCTAAATATACTGCTGAAAAAGAAATTGAACATACCAATAATTGTCGTGAATATCCAGTACCATGTCCAAATAAATGTGAAAAAACTAAAATTCCAAGAAGTTTAATATCAGAACATTTAAAGAATGAATGTTCTAGACAAAATATACGTTGTCCATTCAATGTTCATGGTTGTGAATTTCGTGGCCTTAAAAATAAAATTGATACACATTTAGAGAGATCACTTATAATTCATTTAAATTTTCTCAATTTATCTATACAACAAATGTCATTGTTAGTTGAAGCACAAGTAAGTAAAGAAATAGATTGTTAATATATTACTAAGATATTTTTTATATTAATCTATTCAAACTGATTTCTTTAATTAAATGTTCCTATCATTTCGTAGTAATGTCTTATTAATTACATTTTTTTCTGAGTTTGTATAAATGAAACAATCGTTAACAGATTCGACTTGATAGTTAGTTCATAGGATTATGAAACTTGTATTGAACAGATCTTTCTACGAATTGATTAACAAACATAGTTCATCATTGACCAATAATCACTATGATATTAGTTTCGAAGCAGTAATTGACTGATATATAATGAATAGTTATAATATTGATTTTAAATTATGTAAAGAAGTGTGTAGATATAAGTATCGGCTAAAAGTTAGAAAGTACGAAATTAATCACTAATAATAATGCGTTCATCATAAAAGTTTCAACATTCAAAGTAGATAGTAATAATAAGCAAAGATGGATTGTGGTTAGCACTGGAAACCAGGACACACGCTTCGTCCTATTTGGGACTCGTCAGTTGGATGTAACTGAATCTCAGAGTGGATGTTCACTTTGGGATTCGAACCCAGTACCGTTCGATTCAAACACCATCGCGTTATCCACTTACCTACTGAGTGCTGATAGCCACCTGCTTGTGCAACGGGGTGAAATTTAAAATCACTTGGTACTGAGTTCGAGTCTGATAAGTTTTGCAATTTGAACGCTATACTCGGTTCCTAAGCTATTCTTGTACCTCCAAGCTAGAACTATACAGCAAACTGAACACGAGAGAGAAGGCGCAAAGTATACGAGAAGTACTTTACTCCAAAGTTTCTTTTTATACAGAAAATATAGGGTTTTTATAATATTTAAATGTCCTTGGGTTGCTGGAAGATTCTGGAATGCCACTAAACATAGTAGCAATATAGCAATCAGCCAATTAGAACCTCTGCTTGTGACGTTTCACTTCCTTCATGTTTCTGGCTACAACTTCAAGTGAACGCTGATTGGATGAAATGCTTCTTAGTGTCTTTTGTGAGAAATTTTCTGGATCACCCCAACAGAGTCCTAGAGTGAACATCAAATCTGAGATGCAGGTACATTCAGTTGACGAGTCCCGAATAGTACTAAACGCTTATCCTGGATTCCATTACTAGCTACTATCCATCTTTGCTTAAAATACTTGTAACGTAAGGCTATGTCGAGGCAATCGGCACAGGATGCACATATGCCATGAAGAGATTGATCAATTGCAGTCTTAAATAATAGTGGAAAGATGCAAGTGAAACAACACCAAGTGAATTTAAGATAGTGGTAATACTTTTTAACTTTCAAATCTAAATAATTTTTTTTCACAATGTTTACCGTTGCTATAGTAAAAAGATTAATAGTATTAGTTTAATCGGGGATTTAAACCATCATTTGTAATTTAGGCCACAGTAATTATCGAACTTGTGTTTTAAAACTAATCAACTAGTAACTAACATTATACTAAGATGTGTTATTTAAATAATAGATTTAATGAAAAGGTGACCTGTTACAATTCAGAAATATTCTAGAACTACACAAATACTAACAGATAGATGTTTATGGTAAAATAACACTTGCTAGAATACGTTTTATACAGAATAGATGGATTATAGCTAGCAGCGTAATCCAGGATGTTCATTTCATTCTATTTGAGATTCTTCAGCTGAATTTACATCCTTCCCAGTGTTATTGCTCACACAGGGATTAGAACATTATCTGGGAACTATAAAAAATGTCATTAATTTGAATGGTTGTAACGTTAGACTTATTGTATATTTTTGTTAAGTATCAATACATTAATGACTTTTTTTATGGGTTTCAGATATGCTTAAGTTGCTCATTAAATCGTAAGATATCATTGCTTAATTATCTCTGACGAATTTAATTTATATATGCAATAGAATGTTTAAACTAAATTAGCATTTCTGAGAAGATCATAATACATTCATGTTACAGTATTAATCTTTTTGATCGACATATTATGCAACAGTTAGCCATTCACTAGCAGTGATGAAGAGTAGTATATTTATAAGGAAAAAAATATCCAAAAATTTCCTTTTTCTAGTTTAAACATTCAAATATCTTCTATTAGGTGTCTAGTAATTGATGAACTGCATATTTGTAACCATATTTAAAACTCTGGGTTCAATAAACATTAAAGAACCATATATGTAGAATACTCTTATGTAGCCGTAATTAAATAATATTTCTGTCTACCTATTTTCAGACAAAGTCGTATGCAGAAATTCGTAATTCATTAGAGTCTCAGATAAAGCGTATAACAGCATTAGAACAATGTTTCGGAGCCCCTTTTCTTTGGAAAATCGATTCATATGCTGAAAAATTAAACAATGCTAAATCTGGTAAACAAACTGCTCTATTCAGCGCTCCATTTTATACTCATCGATATGGATATCGAATGGCTTTGTCTGTTTCATTATATGGAAATGGAGATGCAAGAGGGAAGTATATGTCAGTATACGCTTGTATTTTTCGTGGAGATCATGATTCGTTATTACAGTGGCCATTCTCACACCAGGTAAATAAATGGAAAATGTGTTTTGCAACATACTTTTGGAAGTGCTTAATTACGATGAATTTTCTAGGTTTTGGCTTAGCTTTATACTCTAAATAAATGACGAATTTTAACAATATCCAACATTTTTCCAAGTTCAGCCATTAAGAAGGTATACACCACATTCACTATCAGTTAGTACTAAATGCTTTAACAAGAATAGGAAGGGAAAAACCTTATTCATCAATAGAAAAAACATATGATTGAAACATGACACAGAGAATCGATATCAGGACAGTTTTTAAAATGATGTATAAGAATTCCTAAGGATGAATGTTTAGGTTTATAGGAGCCATAGCTAGCAAACTGTCTTTGTATATACAGAAACAATTTGGCGTAATCCTGAATCTATCCTGTTAATCCTTGATCTATTTTACTACTTAAGGCGGTATGATAGCTTCTCATTCATTTTATTTTAACACATTTTCTGTGCTTATTTTTACGATTAATTCCAGTGAATTAACTTTTATGGTCAATATAGGATTGTGGAGATTGTTGAATTTGATTGAATGGCTTGGTAAGTATGTATACAACCATACTGCTCGAAATATCTAGCACAAATGTGTCCAAATCCAACTTCTCATTGTTCTGATGAAATTTATAAAAGGGACTTATTACTTTGAATAATAATAAGTCTTGTGACTTTTTATCGCGTGATTTATCCACCAATCAAAATACGACTTATACAATCTTAGCACTGTGCCAAACCAATGACGTTCGACCGGTATGAGGAGCCTAGCACCCTTACTGGTCCTATGTCCGCCTAGCCCGTCCACTTGAGTCCAGAACACTAATACCAGCTCCTATTATGAGAATCGAATCGAATCATTTGTTCCAGACATACTGGGTTTATATATCAAACAAACAGACCGCAATGCACCATAAAATAGGAAATAACATTTGTACACAATAAAGCTGAAAAGTGGCTGTGAACATGGGAAGCAGTAGTCAATAAACTGAACATAACTTAGGAACAATAAATCGTACAATAACAATATATAGGTCAAAATAAAGCTTATAACAACGGAAATATAGATATACATAATCTAGGTACTAAATATTTATACCATAAGAATATATGAATAATATTGGTCCATTAATAGGTCTCAGACGTTACTCGTAATGTAATCTTCACCAGGATATAACAATAATAATAATAATAATTCCAGTTAAAAAAAGTATTTTTTCAATCATGTTAACAGTTTATTCACATTGAAATCTGTTGGATTGACAAAAGAAGTATACATGAAGTACATCCTAATACATAAAGATAATATAATAAAAATATCGAATGAATTATAATCATATTTAAAAATATTGAAGAGTTTTGAACTAATATACGAAAATTAATGTCAAACTAGTTAATTAGTAGTGTAGTGAAAGAGAACATACAGATACGGGACAATCGAATGTATTTGAACATAAAATTATAGAATCTCTTGGTGAAATCTGAGAACCATACAGTAAATACTTCATTTGCAAAATATCAGTCAATTTTGCCAGACTTCATTGTTCCTTAATTTCCACACCAATCATTCTTTGTTATCGTTCTCTTTTCTTCGATCTTCTTGACTTTTTCCCGCTAGGTATTTCACTTTCGATCGGTGATACATACTACTTATATCTATTGATATCAGTAGCACACACCGTAGTAGGTTTGTAAAATTTCAATGTAACGCATTCAATAAGTGTTTTAAAAAATGGTTTTATCCTATTAAATTTTAGTTAACATTTACATTGATTGACCAAAATCCTGAGATCAATGCTCGTAAACCAATTGTTTATACAATTAATCCTAGTTTAACTGGTGATTATAATCAATTTTTGGGTAAACCAATGAATGAACGAAATTCATGTTTTGGTGCACCACGTTTTGTTAAATTAGAGATGATGGAAATGTCAACTTATATATTGAATGATGAAATTTATTTAAAAGTAACAATGAATATGGATGAAGTAGTATCAATTTAACTAAATATTTTGATCATTTAAATGTTTATATTACTTAAAGGACTTTAGTTATTGAATATTGTAATTTGTTGTTGTTGTTATTATTATTATTGTTGCGTAATTCATTTTGATTTTATAAAAATAAAAAATAAGATTTCTACTCTATCATGAATTATAATAAACGTTTTGTACTAATTTAAATTGTTGTTATCAATAAGTTAAAACGATTGAGGAGTCCCACAATAGGCCGAAACAATCGTTCAGTGCTTCCAGGTTTTCAATGGTTCTCTAACACTAATCGGTTCATGATCTCACTTCGAGATTGTTTAATTAGTTTTAAAAGTTCTAATATGTGAGATGAATCAATAAATGAACCGATTAACTGTACATTACTATTTTTTAAGATGATCGCGATATTATCAATTTGTTTTTAATTGATCATCTGTTTCCTAATCGTTAGCTATTACATCCAAAGATTAGTTGGAAATCTTTAATAACAAGAATACCGTATTTAAATGCATTCAATTTTTGACATACATATTCATATCATAAACATAAGTAATCGCTAGTATCTATGAGTCAATGAAAATAGAAAAAAATGATTGATAACTCATAATACTCAATATTGTTTGAACCAAAAATGAAACTGATTATCATTATTATTGTCATGTTCAATGGTACTTTGAAAGATTGATTATTTATTAAAAATTTTGCCTCTCTAAAACAATATCATTCATTATAAGCAAAGGTGAATAGTAGCTAGCAATGAAAACCAGGACGCTCGTTTCGTCCTATTCTGAACTCATCAATCAGATAGACCTTCATCTCAGAGTTGATGTTCACTTTGGGATTCGAACCCTGTATCTTTCACTTCAAACACCATCACGATATCCACTTAGCTACTGAGTTCAGATAACCACTTGCTTGTGCATTCATTCAATGTACAACTAATCAATTTATACAACTGATATCTTATTTAAACACGTATGTAGGATATTAAATACAGATTTTTATTTTTTTGTAATATTTATAAGAAAATCTTAACTTTTATTTTTATGTTCTTTTTCTTGTTTTAATTGACAGAATGCAATTTATTTTGTTTATATACATATATATACACAGATTTTTTTTTGTTTTTATCAGTGTATATTACTCAAACGGTTATGTTTACTATTCAACGTCATAATACATGAATAGTATACTTATTTTAGAATACCAGCTTATTGTATTATACTTTCTCTTTGTACAAAATAAATTGACATAGAGAAATGAAAATGAAAAAAGAAAGTTCCTGAATCCATTACATAGTTAAGAAAAATTAAAATAGTTTGAAATGTGTCGATTAAATCTATATATAAAAAAATAGTATTTATACTACTGAAAATACTGAATTGAAGAAAGTATGAATAGTTAATGAACATATTACCAAATCTTTATAATTTAGTGAGTTATTAATAATATAAATTTCTATGATAGATTATTTAATAAATTAGACCATTATTGAAAACCTAGAAGTATTGGATGGCTATTACGTTCTATTGTGGGACTTCTCAGCAGTGCACATGCACAATAGAACGAAATGACTGTTCAATGCTTCCAGGTTTTCAGTGATGGTCTAACTTCAATTGATTCATGATGTCAATCAAACACTTAATAATCTCCACAACTCCTATACTGATGTTTAATATATTTTGGAATTCGGAATTCTTTAGCAATGTTATCCATTTTTTTGTTTTTGATACTAGATTATTGATTGTAATAAGGATAATATCAGTAATTTGGTTTTAATATTGATATAAATACAGATATATTTAGTGGTTATATTTACTTTTATAAATGACAGTTAATATAGAGATTAGAAAAGAAAAGAACTTCATTTTACAAAAGTTGTTTTACATTATCGTTGTAGAGTCTAGATAATTATGAGTACTTTAGTATTAGTACATTATTCATTGGATTAAAGATGATTACTATGGGTTTCCTTCTTCATTTTAACATATTTTGAAAAAAAGATAGTCAGTTGATGTTAAGCTTTAAAATGACTATCTACTATATGTGTGATTAAATTGAATTTACTTTAATTTTTTGTATAAGTTACATCTCATCATACTCTGGGAATGAAAGCTAAACTTAGCTATCAACAGTGAACAATTAATGAAGTTTATACATAGAATTGATCAGTTATTTAGTGAAGTGACGTTTAGTAAAGTTACATTGTGCCGTATGTTGCCAATTTTCTGTTATGTAATATTTTGGCTTTAGGTTATCATGAGTTAAATGTTAACAGATGATCTAAGTTATATCAAAACGCTTTATTATAAAAACTAGATGCATAAAGATAGAATATTACCCTTTTTATTATGGTAAACAGCGATTATACAGTCAGCTTTTTAAATATCTAAAGATAATAAATTACCAGTTATATTTCTAGATGTCTAGTCTTGGCTCTTGTAAGTATAGTCAGAACGCAGACAGTGAAGAAGTACCGAAGATTATTATTTGACATGGGTGACGACTGATTTTGTCAACCAAATCATAGTTTAAAGTATGAATTTCACAACACAGTTATTGTTGAATTATATAAGATTAAAGGAACAACCAATAATAGAGAATAATGTTTTAGAATGTTCTAAAGGCCTAACACATGTATTCGTATCATGAATAGCATAATTAATTAGCGACACCTAACTGTGAACGGATGTAAAGTCAAGAGGAGAGTCAGCAACTCGTAGCACTCCACAAAGCTCAAATTTAAAACCATTATCCTCCCTATTACAATATATTTTATTTTGAATGATTGATTGCTTATTTAATTTGTTCATTTTTTTATTAGCTGTGCCAATAATTACCTGTCAGCATTGCTTATTAAGAGACTAAATGATCGAAAAAATGATACTTTACAGTGATAATAGATTTCCTTGAGATGCTGAACATATCTTTGTAATAATAGGCATCAATCAATATAAAGTTGAGTGCAAGTCGTATTCTAATTCTTTCTAAAACTATTTTATCAATTTAAAAACTAAAAACACTTTACAAACACAAATCTTTGTGTTATATACACTTATTTACTAATGTATACTTCTAGATCACTGAGCCAGCATCCGAAGATGTTAATGTCTAAATTTAACTAATCCACGAAATCGAGCGATACATCCACCATTTTCTTCAGTGAGTTACTATCTCACGACCGACCCGGTTGGATGCCGGCTCACTGGTCTAGAGGTTAAGCGTTTGCGCACGAGACAGATAGGTCCTGGGTTCAAATCTCGCTAGGAGGGATCATGGATGCTCACTGCTGAGGAGTTCCACAATAGAACGAAACGGCTGTCCAGTGCTTCCAGGTTTTCCGTCGTTGTCTAGCTTCTATTGACTCATGATCTCAACTATTGAAATTACTATAATATCCACAAAAGTGCCCTTCGGATATTAATGTATACTTGTTATATACAATTACTTACTTACTCACTTACGCCTTTGACCCCCTATGGAACATAGGCCGCTGACCAGTATTCTCCAACTCACTATGTCTTGGGCTTTCCTTTCTAGTTCATGTAACACATGATAAACCCAGAAAGACTCAAATGTAATAATATTATTTAACTGTTGTAAAATTTAACTTATTATGACTTAATTATAAAGTAGTTCTTTCAATAGATTTATTACTTTTCAGAAAAAAACAAACAATTTTTTCTTCAGTTTATCACTTTAATTTATATCAAACATTAGAAAGAAATGATTTATTATTTACTGATTTTACAATGGGTATGTATGATCATAGTGAACTCTCTTCCAATGAATGTAACGGATACAGGTATGTAATTAAAATTCAAATAAATTAATAAATTATTCATATCATTGATGATAAAATATAATTATTGTCTATAATAATAATGTTAATTAAGCAAAGATGGATAGTGGCTAGCAGTGGATCCCATGGCTCGCGTTTCTTCCTATTTGAGACTCGTCAACTGGATGTACCTGCTGCTAGGAGTTGATGTTCGCTCTGGGACCCACTGCACAAGCAAGTGGCCATCTGAACTCAGTAGCTAAGTGGATAACGCAATGGTGCTTTAATCGGATGGTACTGGGTTCGAGTACTGGAGTGAACATCAACTTTGAGATGCAGGTACATCCAACTGACGAGTCCCAAATAGGATGAAACACGCGTCCTGGATTCCACTGCTAGCCACTATCTATCTTTGCTTATAAAGCCTGAAACTTCAGGCAATATAGAGGCAGTCCGCTTAGGATGCATATATGCCAACAACAGACTGATCAATTACTGTCCTAAATACAAGCAAACAACACCAAGTGAATAATTTTACTTGTTCAATATTTCATTGAATCGAAAATTATGTTTCTAAGTTTTCATGAGTTCAGTATAAGTAACATCTTCATAAGGTTAATAAATAATCGAATTGAATTAATATAAACTCATTTTTTAAAAATAACAATCCATTCAATGTTCAGTTTATTTGAAATGATCAAATCAGACATTGTTAATGATGATACTTATTATTGGTGTCCATTAATTATTGTAATTATTTTATGTATGGTAAATTGAAATTTTCTTATAATGAATAAATAAACTAAAGAATAATAATAGTTACAAGGAAGAATAACTAAGATGTAATCTGGTACTATTCTTAATTATTATTATGAATAAATACCTATATAGTCTATCAAGTCAGATTATTGTAAACTGATTAACAAATATTTTATAGTGATTTCAACAGTTGAGATTATGAGTCAAATGAAGCTAGATTACACTGGAAAACTTGGAAGCACTAGATAGCCTTTTCCTCTTATTGTGGGACTCCTCAGCAGTGCGCATCCACGATTACGCTTCTCGAGATTCATATGAATAATTTGTTTAGCATTTGTAGTAATGAATTTGGACTAATAATCTTACTGATATATTAACAGTAATTGTGAAAGTATAAACATAAGGAAAAACCTTCGGAGTAGTATTGCTAAAATTAAGTAGTCAATATATTGATAA